TGAAAAACGTCTATTCAAATTCTAGGCAACAGCTGCAGTCTGGTAGCAACCCAAACAATTGCATGCAAGTTTATAGTGCAGCACTGTGCACCTCTTTGAGACCAAGCAAGCAATACACATTCCTCCATAGCAACCAGTGGTTGCCAGGAGGTCTCTAGGCCTGTGGGACTAAAATCTGTCGACTGCTATGATTTGGGTTGGTGGTAGACACCTCTCTGCAACTACACCAGCACAGCACATGTGACCAGCACCCCCCATCTTCTGCCTTTTTCCCCTTTCAGAAGGAGTTCATTAATTAAGAAAACTAAAAACAAATTCTCTACAATTCTAATTCTTCTTTCTCTCCCCACAGCACACCAGTGCGGGTGCAGAGGGCTCCGGTCAGGCGCTCGCCTCCCCCGGCTCCTGCCTGGAGGAGTTCCGCAGCTCCCCTTTCATCGAGTGCCACGGCAGAGGGACATGTAACTTCTATGCCAACTCCTACAGCTTCTGGCTGGCCACCGTGGAAACTTCTGAGATGTTCAGGTGTGGATTCATGTGCAAACGTCTGTGAAAGGGGAAAGTTTATTGATGAGCTTCAGTAGTGAATTGTAGCTTCAGTTTCCTGTTTTTAGCTGGCTCGAGTGGCATCTGGCTGGTGTGGTCTTCTGCCGTTGGAGCTCATTCAGAGATGTTCTTCTGCAAACTTTGGATGCAATGAGTTGTTATTTGAGTTAACTTTGCCTTATTATCAGCTTAAAACCAGATGGGTTTGAGCTGATAGGAACGCTCAATAGATATTTCCTTTTTCAGAGCATTCTCTGTAAAAACTAGAGTTTTGCAGGAAAATCTCAGTAGTTCACCTGTCTCTAAAACTCTAGAACCAGATCATTTGACTCCAGCAACCATGCTATGTTCAAAGTTGCTTAAATCACATTTCTTCCCCGTTTTGCTCAATTTGAAATTCTTTGCGACTCTTTGCCATGTTTATTTCCCTAATTTTAGTTGCTGTTGAATAAATATTTGCAGTAATGAGCAGCTGAACATGTGTACCTAATAATGTGTATAATGAATGTATATATGAATGTGTCTAATGCAGTACTTACATGACCCACGTTAAAATCAACCCTCTCTTAACCATCTTAATACTTATGGCTCTTACAGAAAGCCCCAGTCTGAGACCTACAAGGCAGGTAGCCTACGGACACGTGTGAGCCGCTGTGCAGTCTGCATGAAGCGCACGTAACGGCATGCATGCCACCAAGCAAACACACCACTGCCAGGAGGTGGAGAGACGCCCATCGATGACGAGAGACGATTGGACGTACATTAGACAAGTGTGGCAGCGGGTGGGGGCAGTCACGATGAGTTGGAATTCCAATGGTGCATTGTCTTCCGGAAAAACAAACTACAACTAAAACAATGGTGCTACTGTGCAACACAGCTTAAAAAAAAAAGAAAAAGACAAAAAAAAGAAAAAAACTGACGTAAACAAATCTTACATTTAGTCTTTGTTTGTCTTAAGAAGTACCTCAAAATGAAAGCAGAATATATTCAATTCATGGTGCCACGATGGATGTGTGACAACAAAACTGCATTTTTCTTTCTTTTCCCTTCTTTCCCAGAAGGATCTTTGTTCCCTTTCCCCCTTTTCCCCCCAAAAATTACGTTTGACACGTTGGTGCAGCAAAAATGTGACAGAGTAACTTTTGATTTTATTTTATTTTTGATAAGGAGTTGATGGTTTTCACGGTTACCAAATCGGCACTTTGACTTCGGAACATCCATGATGACAGATGCACTGACGATGAGCTTTCTGTAGTGAGAATGACTGCTTTTTTAAAAAAAATTACCAATCACCCTTTCTTTCTCGCTCTTATTTTTTCTGTTTTACGTTACATTTCGTAGTGATAACCCTGCTGTCTCCCACTCTTTGCTAACCATATCGCCTTCTTTTGCTTATTTTTTTGTTTTTGTAAGTAATACAATGTGTATATTGTGTAAAACACTTTTGTTTTTAGTGTATTAGTTCGAATCACTACCAGCTGTTTGTTATGCACGGCGATTTTCCAGGTTCTTCTTAGCTCACACATTCACTTAACGCACGTTGACTCAGATATTGTACAAAGTAAGGCTTTTATGAATGAAACAGTATTTTATATATAATAAATATATATTTGAAAAAAGAGGATTAAAAAGTATATAAACTTTATTCGGCTGTGGAGAGCTTGTTTGTTGTTTTTAACCACGAAACGGTCATACATTACATTTCATGGAAAAATAAAGCTTACTACTGAACGCAAACAGCCATTTTCATGAAACTATAACAGTCTTATGTGATATTAACAATGCCAATGCTTCAACCTTTTGTATTGTTCCACTGAAATAAAGGGGATTTGCTTTCAGCTAGTTGAATGATTGGAAATTGTTACGAATATCAACGCGGGAAATGGAGAAAATAAAGTTCAGATAAATTCTTCTTTATTTGATTAGAAAACAGGGACATTTCTTGTGTTTCTTACATTTCCAGGTGCTGGGAATTTTCTATAAAAAGATCCTGATGTAGTTTGAAGGGGCTGCCTTTGTTCCCAACACTTTCAAATCCACTTTTACTTGCTTGAATTTCTATCCCAAATTGGATAAAGTGTTCAGGCTTCATGGTGTGGTAACACAGGTCTGAGCGTACAGATTCCTGATGTACTGTAAAGCTATGCGAGCTGTTTGGGGGAGGGTGAAATATTTCCCTGTGATTTTTATTGTTTGTTTGTTTTGTGTGTGTTTTTTTTTTTTCAAATCTGCTTTTATGAATTCTAATTGTGTCAGCCTGGGGTGCGATTTAAAAAAATGTGCATTTTTTTTTTCTTTTTGTTGTTTTGTTTCCATTTTATGTTATCCGGAAGTTGTTATAAACTTTTAAGACTGAAATAAATACTATGTCCAAAGTGTTGCCTTCATAAATGACTATGACTAAGAAAGAACAGTGGGTGACTTCTTTATAAGTCACCAATCTGGATCATTTAGATTTAAAAGTAAAAGAAAATAAGGGATCGGCTGGCAGTTACAATCTACAAGTCCTCACTTCTCCTTCTGTTTGTGATGTCAGTGCCAAGTGACGGTAAAGTAAATAAATTGGATTGTATGTACATATATATATATTTACCATACCACTGGCCTGAGAGAACAAGGTGGCACATATGGGTGCAGCAGCTCAGACAAATAAAATGGGGCACAATTATTAAGGACAAATAAAGGGATTTTAAAATGGATTGATAAACGAACTGGAAGCCAATGAAGGAAAGCTAAAATTGGAGTGATGTACTTTTGCTTGCCAGATGAAAATTGGACAGTCACGTTTTGCATCAGCTGTAGGCGAGCAATGGAGGCCTTCCTGATTCTGATAAAGAGTGCATTGCATTGCAGTAATCATGCAGTAATCAAGACAAGAGGTTATAAAAGCCTGTATTAAGGTTGTGTTTGGACAGAAGAGGCTTGATCTTTGACAGTCATTTGGAAAAAGATGGATTTTACTCACCACAGTTAAACAAAAGAAGACTGGAGGAAATTGTCGCCTGGTCTGATTAGTCATTGAGATTTCCTCTTGTAGAATTCAGATGGTAGAGTCATAATTCCTGTGTAAACCACATGGAACCATGGATCCATCCTGTCCTGCATCAACAGTTCAGGATGGTGGACATTTTCTTGGCACACTTTGGGCTGGTTTCTTGAACATGATGATGAGTTCACTGTACTCAAATAGCCTTCACAGTCACCAGATCTCAATCTAACAGAGCACCTTTGGGAAGTGGTAGAACAGCAGACTGACAACATGAATGCAGGCGTCAAATATTCAGCCACTGTCTAATGTTATCATGTCAATATGACCAAAAACTCCAAGCAGCTTGAATCTATGGCATGAAGAATAAAGACAGCTCTGAAGACAAAACGGGGTAAAAATCATGTACTACCAAGGTATGCCTAATAAAGTGCCTGATGAGTGTATATTAAGAGGACAACCCCCACCTTAGTCCTCATGGCGAATATGTAACCATATGTAAATACTGCCAAATATATAAAGACCGAAAAGGCAGTTGGTACAGATGACGTACCCGTGGAGGTATTAAATTTCACCTGCGCCAACTACTCTTAAAAACTATGTTGTTATTCTTCATGAGCTGCTCTGCAACATTTTCTGCCAAACTGGTGGTGAAGATGATACGTTTCAAGTGACAGTTGGAATCTGGGCGGACGAATGTTGTTCCTCCTTATATAAGAAGTGTGAAGACAAGTTCTCTTTGTCTGGGACGGTGAGTGGACTCATGTCGGCAGGTAAGAGAGGCTTCGGAACAAAGTCTAGTTTGTTTAATTGTGGTGCTGTGGTGCACTCGAGATCTTTTCAACTTGTATCTTTGTTTTTGTGTTAATGAAACACGTCACTGACTCAGTGTATGTCATCTTTAGGAAAAGCAACCATCCTCTCTGTCTGAATCTGACTGCATAGCTGACTATCTCTTGCTCCACTACTTTAAAGGAGACACCATATATCAACCAAAGTAATTCCAAAAAAGGTAAAGTAGGAGACATATTCCCTGTACTTGTTCCTCAAGTATACTTGTGCTGTTTTGGGTTTAGATTTCCAGTAAGCTGCAGCTTTACCTCTGTTGCATTTGCTCATTCTACTTTGCACAATATGTCTTGGTGCTCTTGTGACTGGGATTTGTTTTTAGTATTTCCTGCAGTAACTGTAACAGCTTGTTGCACTCTTCATTGTGGCGTCTATTATTTTCATGTTCGTAAATATTTCTTAATACAGAAATCTACATTAAAAGCTTACCTGTTCCCACAGTTCACTTTACGTTCTTGCTGCTCAACGATAAAAAGATTTATTAAGACTGGTAGGTACGAGTTTCACAAACTACACCTTTTTCTGAAATGAAGACTAACCTGATACACACTTCTTCACTGACAGTGAAACAGTTTTGGCATTCACCTCTGCACACATAATTGCACAACAAGGAAAGAAGATGGAAGACAGACAATTCTGCTGTGCTGTCTGTCTGGATCTACTCAAGGATCCGGTGACTATTCCCTGTGGACACAACTACTGTATGAGCTGTATTGAAACCTACTGGAAAGCAGAGAACGTAAAAGGAATCCACAGCTGTCCTCAGTGCAGACAGGCTTTCACACCGAGGCCTATTCTGGTGAAAAACACTATGTTAGCAGAGTTGGTAGAGAAAATGAAATACCTCCAGCCTATCCATGATTCCCCTGCTTTTGAAAAGCACAAGCTGGTAGACAAGGTGTTGAAAGCAAACACCTGTTCAGTTCACAATGAGGTGATGAAGATGTTTTGCCGCACTGATCAAATGTGTGTCTGTTGTCTCTGCTGGATAAATAAACATAGAGGACATGAAACAGTTCCAGTTGAAAAAGAAAGGGCAGACAAAGAGAAAGACCTGGAGGTAATTCTGAAAGAAGTCCAGCGGAGAATCCAGACCAGAAAGAAGGAAGAAGGAGTACTTGAGAAAGAGATAGAGGGGATCAAACTGTCTGCTGATACAGCAGTGAAGGACATTGAGATGACTGTTGATGAGCTGGTGAGTTTCCTCAAAGAAAACGCCTCAAATTTAAAGCAGCAGATCAGATCCCAGCAGAAAGATGAAACGAGTCGAGTCGAAGAGCTTCAGAAGAAGCTGGAGCAGGAGATCGCTGAGCTGAGGAGGAAAGAAGAGGAGCTGAAGCAGCTTTCACGCACAGAGGACCACACCGAATTTCTACTAAGTTACTCCACAATGCCCGTATTCATTGACTCTACAGATTCACCAAGCTTTAAAATCTGTCAGGTTAAGTACTTTGAGAGTCTTCAAATGGTGATATCAGAAGCTAGAGATAAACTCAAAGCATTTCTGTGTGATGAACTGTGGAAGATCACTCTGACAGTGAGGTCAGTGGATGTTTTGCTGCCACAAAGTGATCCTAAGACCAGAGATGACTTTTTAAAACATTCATGTCAACTCACGCTGGATCCAGATATAGTTCACAGAAAACTCTTCCTGTCTAATCAGAACAGAACAGTTACAGACATGCTTCAAGATCCAGATAATTCCTGTCTTAAGAACAGAGACAGGTTTTCCATTGAGCAGCAGGTCCTGAGTAAAGAGAGTCTGACTGGACCTTGTTACTGGGAAGTGGAGTGGAAAGGGAAAGGACTTTCAGTAGCCGTAACATATAAGAATGAGAATAAACTGGATCAAACTGCATTTGGAAGCAATAATAATTCTTGGGCATTAGATTGTTACAAGGACAGTTATAAATTCAGACACAACAACACGACAACTCGCCTCTTAGGTCCTTTTTCCTCTAAAATTGGAGTCTATCTGAATCCCAGAGCAGGTATTCTGTGCTTCTACAGCGTCTCTGACACCATGGCCCTGCTACACAGAGTCCAGACGACATTCACTGAGCCGCTCTATGCTGGACTGTGGATTTGGGGGGGGTATTTTATTTCAACCACTGCTACATTAAATGATATACAGTAAAATACTGTTTAACTGATTTTGCCTTTATTTGTTATATTTTTTCTATGATGTAATATCAAGGGTTTGTATGGGTGCTTGAAATCATTGAAAATACTTGGATTTTAATATTGTCTTTTCAAGGTTTGAAAAGTGCTTGAATTTCAGATGTGGTGCTTAAAACTGCTTGAAACTGTAACTCTATTTCATTCACAACAAATGACTGTCTGATTGAATAGTTTTTTGTTCGTTTGTTTGTTTTTTATCAGATAGAGAAATAAAATGAGTCGCAAATTCTAAAAACAACATTTCTCCACCTGGGCTGCCTTGCACCTCTGCATGTCTGTTTCAGTGTGTGACACCCGCCCCAAACAGTCAGGAATGAGTGCAAGAACAAGCCTGGAGGTTGCAGTTTTAATGAGCGTTTGCTGGAAAAGGACAAATACAAATCTTGGATAAGACAACGACCAAATTCACCTGAAAGGTCTGCAAAATGATTTGTACCTTTTCAGAATGGGGGAGTTTGCTTAAGTTCTAGTAAATAATTTTCAACTATGTGTACGTTACACATGCTAATTTTTATAATTATTACTACTTTTTTGCTAGCTAGCAAACTCGCAGGATAAACTATTGAAATGCATTGCGCGTGATGCAATATTGCAACGCTAGTAAAGCAGTTAGTTATGGTATGGTAATTTATGAAATATGCTGCAAAATAACATTACATAGCAGTAGCAGTAATGTGAGTTACTGTTATATATAACTACCCAACTTAAGGCTTTCTGATTAAAGGCTAAAAGCGAAGTTGTTACCAAGTAAAATTAATAGTTTATATTTTTGTGTATTTCTGCAGCTTTTTCAAATATTATCTTGGTTCATTTGGCAACACCTTAGGGGCGATAATAATGGTAATATGAGGGACTGATCCATATGGGCACAAAGAACAGCCACTTTTTTGTGCTACTGAGGTTCCCTGACTTTCCCTCAAAATCTGTTCTCGTGAGCACACCTTAAACATTAGAAATGGCTTAAACTCACATTGAGGCCTGTGGGACACTATTACCAACTGAGACAATATACAAATTTATATGTGTTTTCATATATGAATATTTCATACTTTAAGGCTGCCTGTTTATTTAAGGGAAACGAACAATACATTATAATGAACAATTACATAATAATATCACAGATGATAGATTAAATAAACAGGTGTTAGATAGATGCTTGTGCATTGTTAGTCTTATATGTCAAGGTCAAGGTAACTTTATTTATACCCATAGGCAAGGTAAATTTGCTTTACAGAAAAAATGATAGCATTTGGCATCCCTTCAAAAACACACATACCTAATAAAGATATAAACCTCACTGTGGCACATATATAGTAATTTAATATTTCAAATCAAAAACAGTTCTTATTTAATTCAGTGACAGCAACGGGGACAAAGCTATTTTTATAACGCTTTGTCCTGCATCTCGGAAATAGAAACCTCCGTCCTGAGGGAAGAAGCTGAAATTCTCCCCTTAGAGGATGGGAACCATTTTTAAGGATTGATA